GGGCCTCTCAGAAGCCTCTCAGAAGCCTCTCAGAAGCCTCTCAGAAGCTTCCCAGAAGCCTCTCATATTCGTATACTTTCACACGTTCGCACTGCCAGACTCTCAGACTCTGAGAGGGTTCTACCGGGAAATGTCCGATTTTCCCGGGGTAAGTCCGATTTTACCGGGAAAAGTCTTTTTCTCCCCCCCCCCCCCCCCCCCGCCTGCCCATCGCTCCCATCGTCTCGCGCCGCTCCTCCGGGGGTTCGCTCTCTCTCTCTCTCTCTCTCTCTCTCTCTTTGCTCGCTCGCTCACTCGCTCCTCTCCCTCGCTCTCTCCTCTCGCCACTCCTCGCTCCTCGCTCCTCCCGGCTGCTCTCTGCTCGCGCCCGCTGCCGCTCGTCGGCGCTTCCCCCCCCCCTGTCGGGGGCGTCCCCCGGTGGGGCGCCCCAGGGGCAGGAGAGGGATCCCGAGCGGAATCTCTTCGCTGCCCGAGGCCAGTCCTCCGTCGGGCCCCGTCCCTCAGCTCGAGTCGGGCATGCCTCTCTCTCTCTTTATCTCTTTTTTTTTTCTCTCTCTCTCTCTCTCTACACACACAAAAGCTTGGCATCGCTCGGACGTGTGCATTTTTCCTTCGGCGAGGACCATCGAGGAGCATCCTTGATCACTTGGCGAAAAAACACGCACGAAACAGAAAACAAACACAGGGAACGGACGTCCGAGCGATGGCCAGTCCCTCTACAAAACGGATACTCAAAAAACAGTCAAGGAAATAGTCGGGTGACGATGTTTCGTGTTCGCTCGGCTAACTATGTTTGATGATGTTCGACCACGCTTCGTTCTCCTGTCAAAATCCGCCTGTAGGCGGGAGGACATGCCCGACCTAATCCTCAGCTCCCCAATTTTTGAGCCGCCGGAACCCGACCGATCTCTCAGGTCAATGTCAAAAGGGGGATGGACTCAGGGGAAAACGCAACGCCCCCCAATCGCGCAATGTTTGCCGATGGGGGCTTATTGCCGATCTGCCGGCGATGCATCGCAGATGCAAGCTCGATGTCTCCGCCCCCCCCTGATATTTTCCCCCCTGATGTTGCTTACGAGGAAAGTCTTGAAGGCCTCGCGCGGCGCGCAGCAGTTGTAATGTCTAGTCCGCACGTCCGCCACATCAAAGATGTGACGACGTCCGCGCGGCGATATTCCGCCGTGAATCCGATGTGAACCCGGCGCGATCAAACGTGGAGGAGGAGGACGAGGAGGAGGACGAGGAGGAGGAGGAGAAGGAGGAGGAGGGAGGGGGAGGAGGAGGGAGGAGGAGGAGGAGGAGCAGGAGGAGGGGGTCCTCCTCGAAGGGGGACCCCGACGTACATCCGACGTCTGCCGCGCGAGGCCTCCAGAAGTTTCTGCATGACGTTGCCCCCTCTCCCCCACCCCCTTCGGAGCCCGCGCCCCTGAGCCCCGCCCTGCCCCCCCTCGGAGCCACCACCCGGCTCCCGCCCTAGGAGGAGGAGGAGGAGGAGGAGGAGGAGGAGGAGGTTGAGGAGGATGGAGGAGGAGGAGGAGGAGGAGGAGGAGGGGTCGGAGCAGGCGCACTCGGAGCCACCCGCCGCCCCGCAGGCCAACGACGGCCCCGGCAAGGACGGCGCCGCCAGCACGACGGCCAAGGCCAGCGCGGCCCCGCCCGCATCGGTCCGCGCGCTGGTCCTGCCGTCGCCGTCCTGGCCCTCCTCGCTGGCGTTGTGCCCCCTCCTCCTCCTCATCCTCCTCCCTTCTCCTCCTTCTCCTCCTCCTCATCTCCGCCCCCTCCGGCTTTCGCCGACCTCCTCTTCCTCACCCTCCTCGCCTTCCTCTCCTCCTCCTCCTCCTCCTCCTCCTCCTGCCTCCTCCTCTTTCCTCCGCTTTCCTCCTTTCTCCGCCTCCTCCTCCTCCTCCTTCCTCTCTCCGCCTCCTCCTCCGCCTCCTCTTCTCCTCCTCCTCCGCCCCCTCCTCCTCCCTCCCAATCCTCCTCCTCCTCCTCCTCCTCATTCTCCTCCTCCTCCTCCTCCTCCTCCTCCTCCTCCTCCTCCTCCTCCCCCTCCTCATCCTTCTCCTCCTTCTCCTCGTCCGGTTTCGGAACGAGTTCGGCGGGATCGGACGCTCGATTGATCAGTTTTTTCGAATGATTCATTTTTCCCATGTAAGTGCGCTTATGGCTCTGAAGCCCTGGAAGCACAGGGCAGACTCGAGGTCCGAATTTGGCGGCTGCCAAGTCGTTCCTAGGGCAGCCTCTTTTCTCACGACGTGGATCTATTCGGCGGCGAGCCCGGGGGGGAGTGAGAAGGGGCGGGCCTTCTCATAAGGCTCAGAAGTCCCCCAGCCTTCTCAGGAGTTTTCTAAGCCTTCTCCGCCGCCAGGCGTCGTCGTCTTTGTCCTCCTCGCCGTCGTCTCCCCCTTTCCTCGATGTAGCGCTGCCAGGACACAACAGTCACGTTGAATCGCGGCGAGGAGGTCCCAGGACCCGCGCTCTGGTGCGATTGAGCATTCTCGGACAGTTCTCTTTCAATGGTGCATTTCTCGTGTCGAACAGAAATTCTTGTAGGGGCCAATGAGGAGAGAATTTGGAGGGAGGGCTTACTGCAACATCGTTGATGCATCTTCCCCGTCCTTCCCGTGTTCTCTTCGTCCTGTCCCTCCTCGTCCTTGTTCTGATCCTCCTCGTGGTTGTCCTTCTCGCTGGGTCTCCTCACTGCCACCCCCACTCATCTCTCAGACATGCTGTCGGGCCCCCCTGGCACGCAGCGTCAGCACGCGCAGGCGGCGCCCGCGCGGACAAGAGAGGCAATGCGACCCCGACGAAACCCGGATGCACCAGGACCTCCAGGACCAGCGGGACGGGGCCGAGCGTGGAGTCGAGGCTCCAGGAAGACCAGACAGCAGCTTCGACCTGGTCCAATTTCGGGGCGAGAAGGCCAGGGCAGCCTGACCACAGCATCCGCCAAAGTCCTCCTCCTGACGCAGAAGAGCATCCGCGCGGATTGCCATCACGACGGGCGGGAGTTGTGCCTGGAGCGGTATGGTCCCACCACGGAGGGCGAATATGGGTGTGCAGATCGCGTTGCACGCGTAGCATTAGGTTGGGCATGTCCCCTTGCAGGCGGTTTTTGTGCGAACAATGAAACATACTTGAAAAATGCCCCAAAATAGTGAATTAATGCTGCAAAAATCGTCCCCTGACTATTTTTTGATCAGTTGTGAATGTTCCTCCTGTAGAGGGGCACGCCCAACCTAAGCGCAGCATGTTAGATGGAGGTCGGGCCCAAGGTTCGTTGACGGTGAGGCGGCAGTGGCCACGCGTTCGTTGCGCAGGAGCGTGGCAATTTTTGTCGGTAGCATTCCAGGGCGGTGCTGGTATTGCAGAAAATCGCGAGCAGCAATAGCGCCGTCGGTATCTTTCGGGGGCCCCAAAACGGGGTGGTGACCACACCGTGTGGTGAGTCGGCGGGGATTCGGGGTCACCGCACGGTTTGGGGACTCGGGCCCTTGTCCGAGGATGTTTCGGGACCGTGCAGTGAGGTCGTTGGGGATTCCGAGGTCACCGCACGGTCTGTCACAACAGCGTCTCGGGATCCCCAAATCTTCCTCTTGAGTGCATCCAGTGTTTTTGTTTGTCGGCGCGTCCCTTCACGGGTTTGTCGGGCATCGTGTTCTCCGTTGGTGGCGATGTGTTGCTTCGGCTGCTTTACTACGGCCTGGGCTGGAATCTGGGTACCAGGTCGGCACCATTGGCGTCGTCGATTCCGTCGTCTCAAGTTCCTCGCGTCGTTCCTGTTCTTTGCGCTGCTCGTGGGCCTCCTGGTCCGGTGGGCCTGTTGCTTTTCTATGGAGATGGCCGTGTCCTGCTCTTCCCAGGGCTGGGCCTGAACGCCGTGTTGCTGGACTGCCGCTGCATGTCGTGTGCTCGTTTTGCCAGGGAGGTGCAGGACCACAGGCAGGGCGAAACGAAAAAGCGAATCGACAACAGAGCGAGAAGCAACGTTCAGGCCCAGCCCTGTCGTGCTCTTCCAGCTCGCCCTCGGCCTTGGCCTGGCGGGCGCTGCCGTGCACCGCGGCGGAGGACTTTGCGGGCGGCGTCGGATCGCCCCCCCCGCCTTGCCGCCAACATGCACCCTCCTCCCTCCCGGGGGCCCCTCGTCCTGGCCCTCCTCGCTGCAGTCCTCCCCGTGCTCTTCTCGTCACCCGTTTGCGTCCCCCTCGCGCTCTTAGCATCATCCTCCCTCTTGGCATCGCTCGGACGTGTGCACGTTTCCTTCGGCGAGGACCCTCGAGGAGCATCCTTGATCGCTTGTCGACAACACCACGCGCGAAGCCGAAAAAAAACACAGGGAATGGACGCCCGAGCGATGGCCAGCCCTGCGTCCTCGCCCTGACCCTTCCCGCCCGCGGGCCGCCTGGCCCAGTGTCGCCCTTCCCGTGTCCATGTCAGCTGCGGCGCATTGCCATGTTTCGGGGGCGGCAAAGAGGGGGTGATGACTAGGGGGGGGGGGACATCATGGCGGGGGCCATGATATCTCCCCAGATTTCATGGCGCCTCTTCTTATTTCATTACGTCCCTGGCCCGCCCGCTGGGCCGCGCACATGCCGCCGGTCATGATTTGCACCCCCCCTCTTGGACACTCCCCTCTTTGCCGCTCCCGATCATCTGCGGCGCATTGCCATGTTACCACTGCCGGGAAACATGTGCAATACAGTCGGCCCAGATTGGTAGGTCGGCCCTGCCAAGTCAAGGGTACCCTTGTGTCCTGTGCCTCGCGACCCGTGCCTCCTGAATTCCTACTGCAATGTGGCCCTCGGAAGGGTCTTGTGTCCTCTCGCGTGTCCTGTCCAATGAAGTCCGACTGTAAGAAGATGCCAGAAAGATCTTGTGCGTATTCTTTGGATCGGCGTTGGGTCCCCCTTGTGGCGCCTATGTCGGGGGAGCGTAAGACCCGGGTTTGCCGGGACTCGGGTTCGCCATCGTTTTTTGACGACCGCGCCTCGGATTTTGACGAGGAGGAGTTTCGCGGGATGTTTGCAGCGGGAGGCCTCGTCAAAATGCAGGCTCGGCCTCGTCATTTTTTTGACGACCTCGTCGGGGATTTCCGAGTCCCCCGTACCCGGGTCTTACGTCTCCCCGACTATGGCGCCATCCTTGGCATTCTCCGCGCGCCATGGAGGAGGCTCCAGCGCCGATGCAAGAAATCCGCGCGGACCTCCGACAGTATTGGTCTACAGTGGGGGCCCATGCCAAGAAACACCCCGCTTGCCTCCAGGGTGCCCTGGGTTTCTTTGTTTCGATGGTTATGCTATGGAAAGCGTGACGTTCCCGCACCAAGAATCCATGGACGTCCTGGGGTCTCAAGTTTGGGTTTCTTGTGGAAGGTTTATTGTGGTCGGGCCCCTGATGTACGCATGTTCCTCTCCCTCTAGAGACGTACGGACGTCCGCTTGAGATCTCGAGGCGGGAGGGCGGCTTGATGCGGTTCGGGAAGGTTGCCCCAGGGCTGTCAGCGCCAGGGATGGGCCCAGGGTCTGACGCCGAGTGTATGTGTCCAGCCAGGGCTAGCAAGCTCCAGCCGTGTCCAATTGGGGTCTGAAGGTCCAGGTGCGCTGCCGCGCAAATACTTCGCCACGCTCGAGTGGCTGTCTGAGGGGGACCAGGGGGGGCGGAGGGGAGGTTCGAGAGGGTAGGTGTCGTAGAGGGTACCCGCCAGGAATTAGTTGCCAAGGCCTTCTTGCGGGCACAGCTGACCCTGAAGGGGGACGACGATGACGGCAACGACAACGACAACGACGATAACGACGAACAATGTTCAAATTATTAAGGGAACTCATTGATGTCCTCTCTTGGGGTTGTCTTGTGAGTACTCGTGGGGCTCTCTTGGGCCTCGTTGGAGCCTTTTGGGGGGCGTCTCTCGGGTGCATCCTGGAGCCTCCTGGAGGTCTCATGGGGCGGAAGGTCAGTTGATGGTCTCCCTCTCGGGGGGCCTCGTGGGGCCCTCTTGGGGCCCTTGTTCAGTCGTCTTGGGGACATCTTGGGCGGTCGTGGGGTCGTATTGGCCAGTTGTCGGGCGCGCTCGGCAGTCTCTGGGGGCCGCCTTGGGGCGGTGTTGGTGGCGTCCTGGGCCGTCCTGGAGCCTCGGAGGCCCGAAAAGGCGAGCATTGCAAAAGCAAGCAGCAAGCCAAAGGAGAACCATGGGTGTACGCCTGCTGGGCCTTGTTGGGGCTCCTCGTGGAGCCTTCTTGGGTCGTCGTGGGTGCTTCTGAGGCCATCCCGAGGGCATCTTGGGCCGTCTTGGAGCGATCATGGGCTGATTCAGGGCCGTCTTGAGAGCAGGCCACGGTACAAGTGAGCTACATGCGCGTGGAAGACAAGAAGTCGAAGACCCGACCTTCTCCCAGCGAGGGGTGCTCCCCACCGAGGGGGAGTGACAACCCTGGGGACACCCCCCCCTCTCCCAGTGACCCCCCCGAGGAAGTTCCCCCACCAGCGAAGGAGGGATCACAGGGACGGGGCTTCCCTTCTTTACTCGATTGCGACGTTTCTCGAATTCCTTCTGGCTGGAACGTGAGGGGAGCGGCGACGACAACTACTCATACGGAGAAGCCCCTCACGAGCCGACAGTGTTGGCGGATTCAATCACCACGTTCTGCCTGGAAGGTAGAACATGCAGGGATCTGGTCGCCCAACATCTGAATGCATCGTGGGCCAGGAAGCATAACTCAAGAAATCAAGGGCCCGACATTCCAGGCCTCCCTGGTGGGGTCGGAGCAGATGGGGTCGGGGGATCGCTCGACATCGTCGATGCACAGGCGATGCGGCTCGATGCGAAGCCCGATTTTCTCCACGCCGACGGCGCCGATGCCTCGCCGACGTCGACGATGCACCGTCGGTGCATCGCCGATGCATCGCCGATGCGGCGCGATCCTCCGAACCATCTACTCGGACCCCATCCGGGAGGCCTCTAAACACACACACACACAAACACACACGCACGCTGAGCGCGTCGCCGCGCCGCTGAGCGCGACGCGGCGACGCGCTCAGCGGCGCGGCGTGGGAAGGTCGGGCGAACAGACGCGCGCGGCCTGACGCGGTCGCAAGGAGTGGAGATACCGGATCCGCCGATGGGAGGAAACACACATATATATATATACACAGATACATACATCTATACACACACACGCGCATACACACACGGACACACACACACACACACACACACACACACATGTCGTGCAGTTCCCTTGATCTTCCGCATCCCTCCTCTGTGACGCAGTTGAGGCTAAGACCCTGCTTCGGTCCCGGATGTGCCACGACTTCGTCACGGATTCGCTGTGGATGTTGTACGAGAAGGGCGTGACATTGGGGGTCGCCTCCCATCGACCTTGTCCTCGATTCTTCCTCTCCTCCTCAGCGTGGCCCCGCATGCGGCGACGGCATGGCATCTTGAAGTCGAATGAGAGGATTTGGTTTGATGGAAACGTCTTCGCGGCCCCAACCCAAATCTGCGAGTTAGCAGGCAAAGTGTGACAATTTGAGGGAAGTTGCGGGGCTGAGTGATGTCGCTAATGATCTTTCTCCTCCCTGCTCCCGGCGCTGGTGAGAGTCATCGCACGAGTTTGAGGTTGAACAAGTCGCTACGACGAGATGAGAAGGGGAGATGTAGGACGGAATATGAGATCGAAAGGGGACAAGCTAGAGGTTCAGGAGGGATTGGTGAGTCGAGGTTGAGGAAGTCGTGGCACCGACGACGACAGAGACGACAATGAGAGCGTCGAGGGCAAGCGAAACTAACGGAGAGGAACAGGATAACGCGCAGGTGATCTGACGCCAGCGGGGCTCGTAGAGCGGTGCAGGTCGTTTTCATGTCCGGGCTCATTTACAAGGCAGTTCGCCGAAGTCAGAAGCGGCGAAGCACGTGATTGGATCTCGTAGGAAGAAGTCTTGACGCTTCGCGCACCCCCACCAGCATTTTTGCGCTAATGTTGGCCGTTGCTTGTCTGCAGTGCCCTGACGCCGCCCGACCTGTTCCTCGCCGCGGTCGCGATCAAAGAAGTGCCCCCACCAGCCTATCCAAGAGCAGGCACCAGGCGAGTTTCCCAAATCAGGGATGTGTGGCGTCTTGGTGCAGTGGTTGCCGGTCGTGGTCGGCGGGGCTTGTATTACTCAAGAGGGGAAAAGAGAGACACAATTAATCGTCGATTCCCAGGACAATATTGGAAATTATGGGCACTGGGGGGGGAAGACGAACATCCAGAAAACATGCGAACATAGGGGGGAATGTTGTTGTTTGTGTGTACTTATTTGTGTGTCCTTGGGCCCCATTGAATTACGCCGTGCGTGCCCAGGGCCGCCTTGGTAGAGTGGTTGCCTGTCCTTGCTCGCCGTGCGTGCGCTGCTGTGGCCGCGCGAACACCGACGGCGCGCGCTGGCAAGCCACGACAGGCAACCACTCGACCAAGGCAGCCGCCGGAAGCGCTCGGCGACGACGACGACGACGACAACGACGACGAAGAGGAAGACGAAGCCGACGCTTAAGTCGGGCCTGTCCCTCTACAGGAGGAATATCCCAAAATGGTCGAACAAATAGTCTGGAGACATGTTTTTTTGTTGTATTGCGAAGGCCTGACGGCCGGTGCCGCCGACCCTGTTCGCAATGCGCAGCAAGAGATTACGAGGTTGCTCAAGGTCGGCTTGGCTGGAGCCCAGGGGAAGAGGAGTCCCAGGGGGGGGCGTCGTATCTGACCCGGGGGGGGGGTCGACTACCCCCCCCCCCCTCCCGGCGGGGGAGGGATCAAAGGGAAGGGGCTTCCCTTCGACTCAATTACGAGGTTGCTCAAGGTCGGCTTGGCTGGAGCCCAGGGGAAGAGGAGTCCCAGGGGGGGGCGTCGTATCTGACCCGGGGGGGGGGTCAACACCCCCCCTTCGCTCGGCGAGGGATCAAGGGGCTTCCCTTCGACTCAATTACGAGGTTGCTCAAGGTCGGCTTGGCTGGAGCCCAGGGGAAGAGGAGTCCCAGGGGGGGGCGTCGTATCTGACCCGGGGGGGGGGTCGCACCCCCCCCCCCCCCTCCCGGCGGGGGAGGGATCAAAGGGAAGGGGCTTCCCTTCGACTCAATTACGAGGTTGCTCAAGGTCGGCTTGGCTGGAGCCCAGGGGAAGAGGAGTCCCAGGGGGGGGCGTCGTATCTGACCCGGGGGGGGGGTCGCACCCCCCCCCCCCACCCGGCGGGGGAGGGATCAAAGGGAAGGGGCTTCCCTTCGACTCAATTACGAGGTTGCTCAAGGTCGGCTTGGCTGGAGCCCAGGGGAAGAGGAGTCCCAGGGGGGGGCGTCGTATCTGACCCGGGGGGGGGGTCGACACCCCCCCCCCCTCCCGGCGGGGGAGGGATCAAAGGGAAGGGGCTTCCCTTCGACTCAATTACGAGGTTGCTCAAGGTCGGCTTGGCTGGAGCCCAGGGGTTGCTCAAGGTCGGCTTGGCTGGAGCCCAGGGGAAGAGGAGTCCCAGGGGGGGGCGTCGTATCTGACCCGGGGGGGGGGTCGCTACCCCCCCCCCCCTCCCGGCGGGGGAGGGATCAAAGGGAAGGGGCTTCCCTTCGACTCAATTACGAGGTTGCTCAAGGTCGGCTTGGCTGGAGCCCAGGGGAAGAGGTCTCCCAGGGAAAGGGAAGGACAGAGACGACGAGTACAAAGAATGACGGAGATGACGGCTCGAACGGAAAAGCCCCTCACACACGCCGACAGGGTCGGCGGATTTTGTTGGTAATTGGGGGGCATTGTTTGCGTACAATCATTTGTCGCTCAAAATCTGCTTGTAGGGGGACACGCCCGGCCTAAGGCGACGCCGACGGCAAAGCCGACGCCGACGACAAAGCCGACGACGACGACGACGACGACGTCGACGACAGGAGTCAACCATCAACTTGGTATCGCTCGGACGTGAGCACTTTTTCTCGGCGGGGACCAGTAAGGAGCATCCTGGATCATCCTGCGGAAAACGCCACGCACGACACCGAAACGAGCACGGGGAATGGACGTCCGAGCGATGGCCAGAGGAGGCCTGCCCCAGGAGGCCTTCCCGAGAAGGCCTGCCCCGAGGACCCCCCTCTCCCCAAGAAGGCCTTACCAGAAGGTCTCCCCCCCCGCCCCGAGGACCCCCCTCCCCCGCCCCGAGGACCCCTCCTCCCCCTTCCCCAGAAGGCCTGCCCAGAGGACCCCACTCCCCCTCCGAGCGATGGCCGGTCAAGGCCTCTGCAGATTCTTTGCAACGGCCGCGTCCTGCAGGCCTCTCGGGGCCCCCCTTGGGGTCCTCTTTGGGGGGCCCTCTTTTGTGGGGCCCCCCTCGGGGGCCTGGGCCCGCCGGCCCCCCTCGGGGCCCAGGCATTGGCATTACGTCGGGCGTGTCCCTCCACAGGAGGACTGGTCCAAAAGAGTCAAAAAATAGTCATTGGTTAGCCAAATAGTCAAAAGTATTCCATGATGATCAACATAATCACAAGATAACAATCAGATAAGCCAGGGTACGAGTTGTTTAGATCATTGTTTAACTATGTTTGAGCATGTTTGGGGTATTTCTGATTTGCCTTCCAAAATCCGCCTGTAGGGGGACATGTCCGACCTAACATTAGCACCCGAGGGGCTTTCTTGGGCCAGTCCGGGGGCGGGCTTGGGGCGCTCTTGGGGCCGTCTCGGGGCCATCCTGGGCCCCTCCTGGGGCCCTCTTTCAATAGGGGAACCAACACTGACATAAGCATAAAAATATTGGGCCATCCTGGGCCCCTCTTGGGGCCCTCTTTCAACAGGAGAACGAACAATGACAGAAGCAGAAACTCGGAAGTCCGCGCGGATTTCTCGGATCGGCGGTGGATACCCCTACCTGGCGCGAGGACCTCCGAGTTGGTGTTCATGTCATTGCTCGTGCCCCTATTCAAGGGAGGAAACACCATCCGTACACGATAATTCGCGTTGACGGAACGGCCCTGGGCGTTTACTAAGCAGCATTGCCCAGTTCGATTCCTTCTGTTTGTGCGTTCACTACACGACTTCGCGCGTCGGGTTGATTATTGTGGGGGGATGTTCTGCCCTCTACTCTTGGACCATCTTGAAATCATGTTGAGGCCTTCAGAGCCCATCGGGGGAGGAAAGGCCAGAAGGCGAACCACAGGGAAAAGCCCATTGGTGTTGGATGATGCTGGCCTCCTGGGGGCTTCCTTGGGAGGCTCGGAGGGTACTTGGGGCGATGCTGAGGGCTCTGGGATGTATGCTGGAGGCTACCATGAGCTATCGTGGGAAATTGTGAGCGATCTTGGAGGCCATCTTGGGCTCGCTGGGGTCCTCTTGGAGCCACCTGAGGCCACAAAGGACCCTCTGGGGAACCCCTTCCGCGAAGGGGAAGAATGGGGTTCGCAGAACGAGCTCCTTGGCCCACTCACGCCCAGAGGGGGCTGTTGGACTACGCAAACCCAGGTTGGCCAGAGGGGTTCGGCCACTGGTCGTCCACGGGGTGTCGGCTGGAGGGTTGGGGATGGCTGGAGGGGTTGATGGGGGTAGCTCGTCGATAGCTCTGTCCACAAATTTCATCGCGCCACCATCGCAGAGCGGGTGACGTTCGGAAAACGACAGGATGGGCCCGGAGTGTCCTGGAGATTTCGTCTCGGATTTCGATGCCAATTCGTGAGGATTTTTTCGGACTAGGAATGAAGTTTAAAACAACACGCGAAATTCACTTCGTTTTTCACTCGCCGTTTCTGGGTTTTGCATTGACAGGAATCCACGCAACAATCCATTGCAGCACGTCTGCATGGTCGGTGCAGGGACAAATCGTGGTTGTCGTGTTCTTATGTTTGTTGTTGCTTGGATGCCTTAGCAAAACAGTGGGCGGTGAAGCCGCGGCGGATAAGACGGTCACCGAACACTTACGCATTAGGCATTACTTGTGGTACACTCTTGTATGCTTGAAGCCCGGGCCAGGCCACCCCCTGTTTATGCCTTATGCCGTTCATGAAATGGTTGCCGTCGATGTTTCATGCGTTTGAGGTTCCTCTTGCGGACGTTACGGCTCTAAAGTTGTTCGTGGCGGTTCTAATTCGTAGCAGTTGGCAGCAAGCACAGCTCGAATGTACGATTCTGTCCACTCCGCGATCAGCGACCACGTTCGCAGGTTGACACATTGAATGTGCAGTGAGTGGCCAACACCAGTAGCAGTGAGGGATATGGGACTCGGGGGAGGGGAGGAGGAAGATGATGATGATGATGAGGAGGAGGAGGACGAGGAGGAGGAGGAGGGGGAGAAGGAAGAGAGTGACAACGGCGAGAACGAAGAAGACGTTGATCACGAGGAGTCGATCTGCCCACCATGACTTACTTGTCGACACACACACACACCGCAGGCACAGGAGCCGATCCTCAGAGACCATATCATCATGTACGCCGAGGAGAGCTGGCCAGAAATTGCCGTCCGCTGACGTCCCAAGTGTATGACCAGTACTGCGGCAGTCCCCACTCTACGGTCAGGCGTTCGTGCCGCGCGGGCAGCGCAGGGCTAGCCCTGGATTCAAGGGAGGCAACACCAATCAGACCCGACGAGTGACGTTTACTACACGGCCATGGGCGTTTACTACGCAGCCCTGCCCTGTTCGATTCCTGCTGTGGGCGCGTTTACAAAACGACTCCGCGTGCCAGGGTGATTATGATTCGGGGGTGGACAGACCTCCCACCCTGACACGTCGATTAGTGAATTGTCCGTTTTCTGTTCTCGAGAGGATGCCGCGGCCGTCATTTTCCAGGCTTGCGCCCGCCAGGTTTGGGCCCGATGTCGTTTTCACTAAACCACGTTTTACTAAAGGGGGTTCTCTCCATCCCCGAAATATGGGGGTGGATGTTCTGCCCTCTACCCTTGGACCATATTGGAATCATTTTGAGGCCCTCAGAGCCCATCGGCAGAGGCAAGGCCAGACGGCGAACCACAGTGAGAAAAACCCAGTGGTGTTGGATGATGCTGGCCTCCTGGGGGCATCCTTGGGCGGTTCGGAGGGTACAGTGATGCTGAGGGCTCTGGGACGTATGCTGGAGGCTACCTTGAGCCACCGTGGGACATCTCCACGGTCAGGCTTTCGTGTCGCGCGGGCAGCGCAGGGCTGGCCCTGGATGAACTGGCGTCGGGGGTTCGCACCCTGCCTGTTCGGCACGTGTACCCGTCGGTCGTTGAAAGTAGTAGTATTTTTGGATTCCCAGAATCCAATCTACTTTAAGCGCCTTCCCACTTCAGCGATCGAGTGGCTTTACCTTTTTCGTCCGCCCAAGGGGGCGGAGAAAACCCAGGCTAGTTTCAACGCCTTCCTACTTCATGTGCCCGGAAAGGGCATAAGCCCAGGGTTCTTGTTTAGTAGGTTCACCCCCGGGTTTGACTTAGTGATTAATAGGTGTGAAATAATTGTCATTTGTAGTTTTGTTCGAGATGCGGGGGCGCCATAGCAAAATCAGAGGCAATGCGTGGTGCCGCTTGCTACATTTAGCTGTTTTCAAACATCGTCAGCCAACGGGAACTGCCTGATTTTCCAGAGCTTGAGGTGGGCCGGCGAATTTCTTTTGCGATCAATATCGAGGTCGAGGTGGGCCGGCGAATTAAAATTTGAGGGTGTCTCGAGCGAAACGCTTGTGTTTCAGAATTTGTTGAGGATGTCTCGGTCGAAACGCTTGTTTTGTGTTATATAGTGTCCTCTCCTGGGGACCTGAATTCAGAGGATCTCTCAAGTGAAATGCTTGTTTTCACGTGCCCAGGTCTTGAGGATGTCTCGAGCGAGACGCTTAGTTTCACGCCTGCAGGTTGCCCAGACAGATGTCTAGCATGAGGATTTGTTGAGGATGTCTCGAACCAGAGGCTTGTTCTCACGTGTCCTGGTCGCCCAGGCGGATGTCTAGCATGAGGCGGTGTCGAGGAAGTCTCGATCGAGACGCTTGTTTGCACGTGTCCAGGTTGTCCAGGCGGATGTCTAGCATGAGGATGTGCTGAGAACGTCTTGAGCGAAACGCGTGTTTTCGATACCCTTGGCATTGCAGCCTGGCATGTTGCCTGGCACGTCCCGCGGAGCGTCCCGTGGCGAGTCCCCCTGGCACGTCGCGCGGTGCACGTCCATTGGCTCGTTCCGTAGCGTGTCCCCTTGGCACGTCCCGCGGTGCGTGCCCATGGCACGTCCCCTGGCACGTCGCCTGGCGCGTCCCTTGGGACGTTCCGCAGCGCGTCCTCCTGGCATGTCCCCCTGTCGATTTTTGTTGGGCAGCTACTATCTGCTCAGGCAGCTCGAGCTTAAGATCAAGATCAGTTCGGTCAGGACTCGGATGCATAGAGGACTCGATCCACAACGCTATATAGAGCACAATCGCGTCATGGCACATCGCAGTTCAGCACGGCCCAGCACAGCACAGCCGTCGGCACGGTACATCAAGATCGATACACTCAACATTGCACCTTGCACGTTCTTTGGCGCGTTCCGTGGCGAGTCCTCGCGGCACGTCCATTGACACGTTCCGTAGCGCGTCTCCTTGGCACGTCCCGCGGCGCGTCCTCCTGGCATGTCCCCACGTCGACGAGTTTTGGGGCAGCTACCATCTGCTCAGGCAGCTAGAGCTTCAGATCCAGATCAGTTCGGTCAGGACTCGGATGCCAGGGAGGACTCGATCCACAACGCTATATAGAGCGCAACCGCGGCATGGCACACTGCAGTTCAGCACGGCCCAGCACAGCACAGCCCTCGGCACGGTACATCAAGATCGATGCATTCAGCATTGCATTTGCCCGTCGCCCAATCAGGTGTCTTTGGAACGTTGCCATGCCTTACATTTCTATATTCCTGTCCGGGTTCGTGGGTCGATCATGTTCTTTTCTCTTACCTACGTCATCAGCATCACCATCAGCATCATCCTAATCATCATCATCGTCATCAGCAGCATAAGCATCATAATCATCAGCCGCAGCAGCATCATCATCAGCATCATCATCATCATCATCATCATCATCATCATCATCATCATCATCATCATCATCATCATTTGTCTCTCCTCCCCCTCCTCGTCCTCCTTTTCCTCCTCCTCCTCCTACTCTTACTCCTCTCCTCCTCCTCCTCTTACTCCTCTCCTCCTCCTCCTCCTCCTCCTCCTCCCTCCTCTTCCTCCTCCTCGTCTTCCTCCCTCATCGTCCTCCTCCTCCTCCTCCTCCTCCTCCCTCCGCTTCCTTCTCCCTCCTCCTCCTCCTTCTCCTCCTCCCTCCTCTTCCTTCTCCCTCCTCCTCCTCCTCTCCTCCTCCTCCTCCTCCTCCTCCTCCTCCTCCTCCAGGCGTTTTGCGCTCGGGCAGTTTGGGTCGCCTGTTTCCCGCGAGACCCCAGCCGTTTTCTCGTGTTCAGCGGGCGGCGGCGCACATTTTTTCTTCATTTACTCCGCAGCGGGGGAGCCTCACAGCAGGCGCCCGCCAACTCCTGCCTGGCATAGGCGGCTGAGGCGGCGCGGGGCGGAGGCTCGCAGTGTCCTCCGCGCCTAGGCGGCGCGGATTCTGCTGCGCAGTCATCACGGCGAGTCCGACATGGCAGGGCAGAGTGGCAGAGGACGCTCATCCTCTCGCCAGCCGCCCCCCTGCCAACAGGTGGCGATGCGAGAACCCAGAGCGCCGATGCAGCGGGAACCTGCGGCGCTGGACGTGATGCAGAGGCAGCGCGAAGAAGGGTGGCACATCTCAGAAGGCTCCATGGTACCAGAAGGGTGCTGGCGGTGATGGCGTTGCTCCTGTTGCCAGTTCTCATTCTGCCCAGGGCACAGACAACCTAAGTACGCACCGGTGCCCTGGAGGCCTTGGTCAGATTCGCAGAGCAAAGTGGAGCTGAGTCCATGGCCAAGAAGTACCGCGGCACGATTGCATCCGGACAAAAGGCCGCCGCTTCCCAGCAGGAGCTCTCGGTCGAGGAGCTCAAGTCCATGGTGCTGCTGGCAGAGAAGAGTGGAGGCGGTGCAGCCGCCAAGAAGTACAAAACTCTGCTCGACAAGCACAAGTTATCGTGCTCGACGGTGCGCGCTCAGACCCGAGCGAATAAGGCGAACACGAAGGTGCTGCAGCTCACGAAATTGCTGGGCGATGAGCAGAGCACGCTCGCGAAGCTGCTCGAGCAGGTGGAGGAGCAGCGGGGTGCAGTGCAGCCCTTGCTCGCGGAGCTCGAGGCTGCGGAGCCGGAGTACAAGGCTGCGGTGGCGCCATTGGTTGCCGGTGCAGGCGCGGCGGAGAGCGAGCCCTCCAAGCCGAAGATGTCGCTGGCGAAGCGCATGGACGGCGAGCAATTGAACCTGGACCCGGGCGACAAGGGCCTTTTCGGCCATGCGGAGTTCGAGGCGCTTGGACCCGAAGCGCTGGAGGAAGCTAAGACAAGGAAGCAGGCCATGCTGGATAATTTCCGCAGCATGGCGACTCATGTCTTCGGGGCCAAGGGCGAAGCATTGCAGAAAGAACACCAGGCGCTGCAGGAGCGCCCGGCGGCCAAGAAGAAAAAAACGGACGAGGGGCAGGCCGCGCAGAGCGACGCCAAGTCGGAGGCGGAGCAGAGCGCGGCGGCAGGTGCAGCGGCGAAGGCGCCTGGCACGACGGCGGAGCTCAAGGCGCAGGCGAAGGCCGCAGTGGAGGCGGCCAAGGCGGCGGGCAAGGGCAAGGCGAGACCCCGCAGCGTCCATAGCCCCCAGCCGCGCGGCAGCAGAGGACGAGTGGAGCGCGCGCCAGTCGGGCGCAGCTCCACCCCAGTTTTGAACTACCTCCCTTTGCGGATGCGGGCGCAGGCGAGTGTGACTACTCGGTGGCCCGCGCGGCATCCTGCGCGACCCCCACCTCCCCACTGCCGCCCAGCACCGCGTCTACGGGGGCAAGTGGCGCCAGCGGTGCGACGCGCAGTATCCGAGTGACCGGGCGAGCGCGACCACTTGCAGGCGGCGGCTGGCCCCGTGGCAGCCGATTCGGCGACTGCGAGCTCCTGCTTCACCTTGCGATGAGCATCGCGGTGGACGGGGGCCAGCTCGACGTTGTCCGATTCTGAGGTCGCCTCCACCACGGGTGGAGGGTCCAGGCGCCGCTCTGCGCCCGAGTCAAGCGTGGCTATTTATGCGAATCACCCAGGGGGGAAGAGCAATACCTCGTCGTTTATCCGACGTTGTAGATCCCCCCCCCCAGGGCGCCTTGCGCGGAGGGCGCGTCCCTGAGAGTAGAGTCGTGCAGCGCTACCTGTTGGAACTCTTTCAAGGCGTGGCCGAACAGGACGGAGTCGCATGTGGTCTGCTTTCATGAACGCCACATCGCTAGCGAAGCGGCAATGCGCGAGGCGACGTCGCGGCGTGCACGGCATGAACTATCCTGGCGAAGGACCCAACCATATGCACTTGTGAGTACCGCAGTTGTGAATATCTTCTT